GGCGTGTGCTGATGGTTTCTATTAGGTACAGGATGAAAAACAGGCAATTACGTAAGTTGTACATGAAATATTTACAGTTCTGCATGAGACACGGCAGGCGCAGAGCTGGGGGCTGGGAACGAGGTTTTGGAGAGGTGAGGGATGCAGGAAAGCGCCTCGGGAGGTGGGAGGGCTGTGCCAGGGGATGTTCTGGGATCAGGGAGGTGCCCGCAGGAGAGAGGGGGAAGGATGGAGCCCCAGCTCGGTGAGGAAATGCCGTCAGGACATGGGAGATCTTAAAAGTTGAAAACTGTCCTCTGATCCCCTGGGAGGAGTCGGATTGGAGGGATAAAACCCTGAGAGCAGTGCTCTGTCAGGTGTGATCCTTTGCTGTCTGCTACTGAAATATTTACCTGCTCAGGTCTGAGAATGCTGCCCTCTCACTTTTAACAATCCTGCAGTTTTGAGGTTTCTCTAATGTGCTTTTTCGTGCTTCGTATGTGACCAAACAATTAAAATCGTGAAGCCAATGGAAAATCTCTTTAGCCTGCAATGTCGGGGTGTCAGTGTCAGCCTTGCAGAGCTGAGGTGTTTGGGTGAGCTCCCAGCTCAGAGCTGCTTGTGGGGACACCATCAAACACCTGCTGTGGTCACAGCAACCGGGGGCTTCTAAAAGTGGCTGAAAACCAAAAATTGGGGCTGCTCAGGGCTGTCTCTGCAGGGCTGTGCTGCACTTTCTGCCTCATCTTTAGCTGCTGCTTCTCTTAAAACACTTTTCACCTGTGGGTTACAGCATGGTGATTGTGTCTGGGAGAGGTCAAACAGATTCAGTGCTTTTACTTATATTTATATATTTGTATTTATATAATTATAAATATTTATAGTTATAGTTATCTTTATATTTATATCTATATTCATAATTATATTCATGTCTATATTTCTATGTTTCTATATTTCTATAGTTGGGAGAGGTCAAACAGATTCAGTGCTTTTACTTATATTTATATTTATATATTTGTATTTATATATTAATATTTATAGTTATATTGATGTTTATATTTATACATATGTTCATAATTATATTCATATCTATATTTATATTTCTATGTGTCTATATTTCTATATTTCTATAGCTTTATATTTATATTTATGTTTATATTTATTTCTACCAGTGATTTTGCAAGTCCTCTGGCTTGTTCAAGCACAGCAGGATTTTTGGGAAGGGTTTAGGCTCTTGCCAGGAGCCCAGCCAGGCTCAGCCTGTGGCTGAACTCATGGTTTGGTTCATTTCTTCACACATAATCTCAGTTTCTCTCCTGTTCCCCGTTTAGGACACAGATGAGGAAGATCCCTACTGACTGAAGCTGTGGAAAAAGACTAAAATTACAGCACTGAAAATCGTGGTTAGACCCCCCAGAGGCTGCTGGCTAACCAGTGCAGATTGAAGGACGTGCTCTGCTCTTGGTGGATTGGAGGAATAATGCTGATGGGATAATTCACTTCTATTTAAACACAAAATAACGATTTTCTAAGAATCTTTCTCATTTACTGGGGAAAAGAAAATCTCTTGCCCTCGGATCTGTGGGGCCCAGAGAAGCCCCAGGGCCTGCAGTGCCAATGTGCCTTGGTTTTCCTGCAAGCTGCTTTGGTTCATTGGTTTGGTTTTTTGGTGACATCTCTCTTTTCCTGAGCCCTGGAAATCCAACTTTTTGAAGTAAAGGTTGCTCCAACTCTCTGGGCACTGCCAAGGTTTATCCTCAGGTTTTTGGAACATGCTGACTCACACCAGTTTGATGAAATGATATCTGGCATCCTCTGTGCTGGAGTGAAGAGAACCTACTGCTTTTGAAGTATTTTTTTATTTTTTTATTCAGCTGCATCACTGGCTACCGCTCCTTCTACCTGTAGAAGCGAAGCACAATTCATTAAAAACCAATTTATTTTTCTTTTTTGAAATCAGAAATGCAAATGGGGACTCTGTTTCTGGGGACACACAACCCCATCTACCTCAGCCACGGACTCAAGCACTGCCCAAAGGAATGTTCTCTTTGCAGTAGTTGTTTTCTTCCTCCCTTCTAGGACCTGTTTTAGGGAAATGATTCACTGTGCAGCATTACTTCCCCTCAATGAAGGGCATTTCCTCTTTCAACAGCCTTATCCACCAAGGAATGGCAGAGAGCAGTGGAATTCATCCACTCAATCCCTAAAAAGCTGCTTTCTTTCTGTATCAGTCAAATATTCTCTTTTTACAGATGTGCTCCAGGTTTACTGCTGACTTTGCTGTGCAATTACCAATAAATTGCATTATTCCATTCTGGGCTGTGGGTCTGTTCATTTGGCTAAATACAGCTGAACCCATAAAACTTCCATGCTGAGGTGTAAAAATTATACAAATGGTTTGATGATGGGTAAAGATTTTTAGGGAGCAGATTTAACCCTAAAGAGGGCAAGTACCAGGCCCCCCTTCAGCATCTCTGCAGCTTTCAGGTGTGGTGAAGCTCTCCCTGAGAAGTAGGTCAGCTGTAGATCTGTGCCTCCAGATAAATACATTTTTCCCCTGTCTACTAAAAAAGCAATATTTCAAGTGTTTGTGCTCGCTGGTGACACATCTCTGTCAGCCAAACTTTCCTGGGAAAGGCTGCTGGGGGATCACACAGCCCGGGGGAAGTGGCTTTGTTCCCCTCTCAGCACTCACGACTTCCCCTGGGGCACCAAAGGCTCTTTTTTTGCTGAAAAACGCTGCATTTCAGCTCTGCCTCCTTGGCCATGAGTGTGTGGATTCTGGGCAAATATTCCTGGTGCAAAGCTGAGCTGCCACCTTGGAGCTGTGAGTGGTGCTGGGCTTTCTCCTCCTCTGCCACCCATATGGAGATTTCTTGGTGTGGTGATGCATACAAGTAGAGATATTATAAAAGAAAGGCCTTAGAAAATCCGGCCTAAATTACCTAAAATCAGGCTAAATTACCAGCTGGCCTGATACTCCTAAGTGCAGCTAGCTCCTAAGTTCTCATAAGTTAACCAAACAACCTATTCTAGTGAGGAAAACAGGCTGCACTTGTAATAACAAGAAATTTGTCCTGTGAGAATCAGTGAACAAAATATGTAAACATTCCAAGAATAGAGAGATTTGATGGAAAGGTAAAATGCCATTTACCAACCAAGGAATGTAGCAAGGAATCTGCTAGCCAGTTGGAACTGAACAGAGGGTCTGTGAAAAATGAGTTATGTGAGTAAAGAAGGGGCTTTTCTGCATGAAAAAAACTGAGTCCTGTCTGCTTTATTGCAGCAGCGTGCCATGGGAGCCACTGGTACTGGAATGGAGAGAGGGAATTCTGGAATGGGTAAAAATGGGGTGCTGGAATGGGGAGCAGTGGGATGCTGGAATGGAGGGAGGGGATTCTGGAATGGGGAACAGTGGGATGCTGGAATGGAACACAGCATCTGCTCTGGTGTTTCAAGGAAAAAGGAAGGGTGAGAATGAGCTTTCAAAGTGGCCAGGGGGGTTGCAGCAGAGGCAAATCAGAGTCTGGGCTGTGTTTCAGAAGGAGGCAGCTGCCCGTGCTGTGCCAGGCAGGCTGAGGGCCCTGGCAGCCCCAGGAGGAAGGCACAGCCACGTCACCCAGAGCTGCTGCCTCACTGGGACAGGATCCAGGGTGCAGCACTGACAGTTCTCTGAGCAGCTCCGGTCCCAAAACAACGCAGGAGGGAGCACAGGGTGTGTGCCAGGAACCTCTGTGTCCAGGACTGGTCATTGTGACTGGTCAGGCCAGTCCCTCAGCCGGGCCTGAGCCCCAGCTCTCCCTGTCAGGTGCCTCCTGGAGCTGCCCCATCACCCCTCTCGGGCCGATGCGTCTGCAGCTGGTTTCCCCTCTCTGTTGCACATCCTAATTTCTCGTTCTGCTTCCTCTTGCGTGTGAAAGTGACCATCAGACACAACCTGCCAAGAAAGACCTTGCATATGCAACCTCCTGATGATTTAGCAACTGATTCAGATATTCCCAATTCAGACACTGAATCAGCTGCTGAAGAACGCAAGGCGAGCTGACTTTTCCAGGCCACTCTAGGTGAGTGATTTTTGCTGTAATATTTATTTCTGGATGGTTTTTTTTTTTCATTTGTTTTTCCTGAGAAGAGAACCGGGGGAGCAGAAGTGCTGGTGACTCGGTGCCATGTGCAAAAGCAGGGGATGTGAAGGCCATGTGGTGGCTGTGCCCCTTTCCCCCAGTCTGTTTGGGAGAGGCAATCTGGATGTGTCAGCACTGGCACACACAGAGCAGCCTGGTGAGTGGGTGCTGGCTCCAGCTGGTGCCTCCCAGCACCCTCTCCCTGCTGTGTGTCACAGGGGGAGACCCTGCAAAAACGTGCTCCCAGCCAGGACCAGAAATCCTCCTCGAAACCAGGGCAATAAATCCAGCAAGGACCCGGTGGCAAATACAGCCCAGAGCCCCGGGAGCTTTGGGAGGCTCTGGGTACAGAAATCTCAGCTCTCTGCAGTCAGACAGGACTGGGTTTGAGCTGGCTGCTCTTTTGGCTGCTGCAGGGGGGTGGTCCTGGGAGGTGCAGCTCTGCAGGTTTTGGCAGTGGCTCTGGGAAAGCAGGGTGCTGTGCCTGGGGCTGAGCAGGAGCTGTGTTTGTAGGTCGGCTGTGCAGCCAAGTGTGTCACGGCAGAGCTGCACAGAGCACAGCAAAGCACGCAAAAACCCAGCCCAGAGGGGTCCTGTGCTTGGAGAGGCAGATGGCAGAGAATTCCAGAAGGTTTGCTGCCACTTCTCAGGATTTTTTTGTTTGTGCAAAGGGCAGGGTGATGAAGGTGCAAAGCTGTAGTGATTTTCTCAGCCTAGAACTGATCCAAGGGTCCCCAGCAGCTGATTCTGAGTCTGGAATCCCTGTCTGAGCCTCTCACTCGCACAGTGGAGCAAAACGAGAGAAGCCACCAAAATGCCAGAGATGATTCAGCTCTTGTCTTTCTATTATTTCATTTCTGCATTATTGGAAAATACCTGCTGTAATGCAGCCTCAATTGCAGCTCCACTGAGGGCTCTCAGGCAGGAGAGCTGCTCTCAGTAACCACTCACCCTTAAAAGCAGGGCACAGCTGGGAGTCGTGGAGCAGGGACAGGGCAGCAGGGTGCTGAGCCCTGCCTGCCTCGGGACACTGCCTGGCACGCTCCTGGTGGTGGCAGCCAGTCCTTCCCCGGGCTGCAGGGTAAATCCAGGCTGCAGAAAGATGTCAGCTTTATCCTGAGAGATGTGGAGCTCAGATCTCTGAACCCAGAGATCAGACGTGGCGCTGCTCCAGCAGAGCCTGTCACGGTGTGCAGCACCCAGGAGCAAGGATTAGATCTGAAGTAGGGGGTCTTGATTTAGGACCCAGCTTCTCTGATGAGCACAGTCAACACCTGTGAACATCTCAGCTCAGATGTCAGAGGCTTGACCACTAAACCACCGGAAAGCATCGTGACTTACTTAGAGGAAAAGATGAGGGGGCTGAGCCCTGTCCCCCATGTTCACTCTTCCTTTCCAGGTCTCACAAACCAGAGCCCTGTCCCTGCCCTCTGTGCTGTGCTGAATTCCAACCTCCCAGCCTTGGAGGTTGCACACCAGAGTCTTCCTCTGACCTTGAGCTGGCTGCCAGTCCTCGGTGTCCTGCCCCAGGGACACTGGAGCATGTGTCACCTGTGCTGTTCTTTTCAGAGGGAGATGAAGGTGTTGCTGAGCCTGGCCCTGGTGCTGACATGGCTGGGTAAGCTCTGAGTTTTATTCCCTTCTGCTTTCCCCTCTGCCTTTGCTCTCAGAGCCATCAGTGTCTCTCCTCCTGTGGTGAGAACCCCGTGGAGCTGCTCCTCTCCTGGGTGCCAGTCCCTCTCTGGCCCTGCGTGTGCTGCAAACTGCACTGCCATCCCTGGACGTGCCCTGGATTGAGGCTCCAAGGCTTTGAAAGAAGCAGAACTGCTTCACCAAGTCTAAACACAGGGAGAGGTTTCCAAGGTATTGATTTTGGCTCTGCTCGAGGCAGGCAGCTCCCTTGGTCTTCACCGCTGGCAAATATTTGTCATTTTCAGCTCCTCAGCTGGTCAAGACCAACAGAACTTGTTTGGGAAGCTGCAGCACTTTGCGTTCATTATTTACAGGGTTTCAGACAAACACTTGGTGCTTGGCCAGGGCCCAGCCCTCGGTGGTTGTGGACAGGCTGGGCTCAGCCACGAGGACGAGCCTACCTGTCTGAGCAGCTCCCCTGAGCTGAATCAGCTCAGCCAGCTCTCAGCAAACAGCACCAGAGCCTCATCCCCCCTTGCAGGGCCACTGCAGGCTGGGGCAGGTGGGGCTGACGAGCTCCAGTGACGTTTTCTGCCCCAGTCATTTCAGAAAATCTTCTGGTACAGAGAAGACTTTTAATCCCCTTCTTGCCACACAGTCTGCAGCCCAGTCAGCCGCAGCTGCTTTGTGAATGTTGTCAGCTCTGTGCTCTTTGATGTTCCCCTGGTTTGCTTTTTTCCCCACTGTCCAGCTACTCTAGAAAGCTGTTGCTACCTGGCCAGACAAGCACAAGCCCAGGTCTGGAGCCTGTGAGCAAAGGGGAAAGAAGCCAAATGGGTAGTGAGGGAGGAACTGAAATTCGTGTGAAGCACCTCGAATCGCCCCTGGCCTGGTGCAGATGAGATCAGCACAGGTTCTCCCAGCCTGTGAGTCACAGGCACAGCCCTGCAGGAGCTGCAGGCTTTGGCTCCGAGGCGTGGAGAGGGCAGGGGTTGTGCTTCCCAACTCCCCTTCGGCTGCATCACGGGCAGCAGCCCTTGGTGTGGCGGCGGCAGGATGTGCTGCCCCACATCCCAGGCACGCCACGAGCAGGGGTCAGGCACGGGCCGGGCCTCTGCCCCGCTCAGGGCCGTGAGCCCCAGGCTTCCCTGGAGAGCAGAGAGCGATGGGGACAGGCAGGCTGCAGCTGGCCGTCCTCCCTGGGCTCATCCTGCTGTCCTTGTCCCCGGCAGGGCGGTGCAGCAGCGCTGCCGAGGTGTTCACGGAGCCCCAGCTCCGAGCTAGGGCTGGAGACTCCGTGCTGCTGCAGTGCCTCTTCCTGGACCCCGACAGCAAGGGATGGACCCTGCACAAGGTGGACTGGCTGCACAAGGCAGGAGCTGGCACGCAGGTGGGTCAGGACGGGGCTGGCAGGAGAGGGGACACGGGGCTGGTGGCAGGGGAGGGAGGGTGAGACAGCCGTGGGGAGGCTGTGGGGAAGTAGCCGAGAGGAGGCTGTGGGGAAGCCCATCGTGGTCACCAGGCCATGAGGAGAGGAAGTTTTCATGAGAGGAAGAAGGGTGCCCGTGTGGGGGCAGTTCTCACAGCAGACGGGGAGCTCCGCTCCGGGTGCTGCATCCTGGGGCTTTCCCTGGGAGTGCCGGGCTCTGGGAGCGCACGGGACACAGAGAAAGTGTGAACTGAGAGCTCTTGAGGAGGACCAGGCACCTGCCATCCCGCACCTGCCATCCCGCACCTGCCCTGGCAGGAGGAGATGGTGTTTTTCTACTACAGCAACCACGGCGTCCCCGCGGGCCGCTTCAAGCACCGGGTGCAGTGGCGGGGGAACACCTCCCGCTGGGACGGCTCCATCCTGCTGCAGGACCTGCGTCTCAACGACAGCGGCACCTACGAGTGCGAGCTGCGGCTGCTGGAGACCAGCAGCGTCTTCAGGAGCCGCACGGTGCTGCTCGTCAGCCCCGCGGCACCCAGAGGTGCGCGATGCTCCCCGCCCGCCGCCTCCCGGGGCTGCCCCGGCTCTGCGCGTCCCCGCGGTGCCATCCCCCGCTCGGTGTCCCCCCGGCAGGTGCCGAGGATGTCGCGTCCCCGAGAGACTCCGGGTTTTGGCCGGCAGTGGTGGGCTGTGGCTGCGTGGCCGTGGTGGTGGCGTTCCTGGCCGGGCTGTGCGTGAGGAAGAGGTAAAAACGCTGCTCTGGGTTGAGGGGGTGAGGAAGCAGCTCCCTGCTGCCCTCCCTCCCCGGCCAGGCTTTGCCCTGGTGCTCCCCAGGTTTGGGGTGCCAGCCTCCTGCTGCCATCTAGTGTCACCGTGCCCCGGCGTGTCCCCTCGGCTCCCAAACCTCCTGGGCTGTGCCAGCAGCACGGATAGCCTGGTCCGGGCGTGTGCTAAGGGATGTCAGTGTCCCGGGAGAGGCAGGGAGGGACAGGAGCAGCGGGTGATGCTCTGGCCGGAGGTGACACTGCCGCTGCCTTCCCTCGAGGTTCGCAACCGTGACAGCCCTGGAGAGGATGGGGAAGAGCAGCAGCAAGGGCAAAGCAGAGGTGAGAGCTGAGGGGTCACAGGGCTGGGGGTGTGAGCTCGGGGCTGGGGAGGCCAGGGAGGGGATCCCACCCTGCCCAGGCACCGGGGGCCGTTTGCTGGCCAGCTCAAGCCATGGCTCCTGCAGCTTGTCCTGTGGCTGGGCTCAGGCAGCCCCTGTGTGTTTGGGGGCTGCTCAGTCCCAAAGAGCCTGATCTGCCCCTCGCAGGAAGCACTTTACTCCTCAATCCCTGGAGCCGAGGTGCCCAAGGCTGAGCCGGAAGCAAAGAAGAAGAGGAGAGCTGAGGACACGTACATAACCATGGTGAGGAGCTGCAGCAGGCGTGGTGGGACCCCCACACCACTGCCCCCCTCGTCAGGGCCATGGCACACAGGGCCTCACTCCCTGTGCCAGGCCCCAGCATCCCGTGCCCCCTGCCCCCTCCAAAGTCACCCTGGTACCTGTGGTGAGGCTCACACCTTTCCCTTGCTCCCTGCAGCACCCATCTCACTGCCGGGACAACGGCGTCTACGTGGAGCTGGCCAAGAGGGCCATCCCGTCAGAATGGATGGCAGAGGGGGCACAGGGGCATGGACACAGCCAGGAGCCCCACAGCAGGCCAGAGGAGGCACTTCCCCAGCCCCCAGAGCGGCAGAAGTAGCTGTGCTGTGGCATGGCAGCCCCTTTCCAGGTGTGCCCGAGACACATCTGTCCCTGTGAGGACTGAGAACTGGTGACACGTCACTGTGTGCCCCGTGCCAGGGCACTGCTGGGGCACAGCCCACCCCAGCTGTCTGCAGGGGACCAGGGGACCCCTGTCCCTCCAGCTCTTGCCCCCTGGACTCGAGAGGGTGGGCACAGCTCACGCTCCAGCTCTGATCCTGGCCCAGGGTGAGGATCCCCAAGGCGGGAGACGCAGCAGGAGCCGTCACAGTATTTTTCTGTAGATAATAAAACTCAGGGAGCCTTCCCTGATGCCGTCTTCGTTTTACCTCCAGCCTGAGCATGTGATGTCCAAGCGTGCCAAAATCTGCCTGGCCCAGGGCCTGGGAGCCCCTGAACCCAAGCGCAGCCTGGCACGGGGCACCCGCCAGCCCCAGGCGGCAGCACAGCCAAACGGGGCAATAAAGCAATAAAGGGGTGCCGTGGCAGCAGGATGGGGACTGAGGGGAGCAGCACACGGGGGTCCCCGCCGTGCGTCCCCTGCCCACGGGCGAGCCGCCGGTGAGGGGCAGCGCAGGCCGGGGGAGCGCGGCCGCCCCTCCCGGGGCCCCGGGGCAGCGCCGGGGCGGGCGCTGGCGCTGCTCCCGCTCTGTCTCTGGGAGCCGGGCGCTGTGTCGGGAGCCGGGCGCTATCTATAGATGTTTGACACCTCCAGGTGCGGAGGGAGCCGGGACCCCTCAGCTCGCACCGCCGCCGCCTCACTGCAGCGCCGCGCTGCGCTCCTTGGTTCTCGTTGACACCCTGCTCTCTTTTCCCGCAGGCAGCCGCGGGACCCAGTTCGGGAGCAGCCAGCCCCGGAGCTGGGGGTCGGGGGCCGGGGGTCGCACAGGGCCTTTGGAGGGTCGTGGCAGCCGTAGCAGCAGAGCACAGCGGGCTTTTCCTGCCCAGGACGGGTGGCAAAGTGCTGTGCGTGCAGTGTTTGCTGAGCAGCGCTGCCAGGACGCTGCCGTGCCTCCTCTCCCGGCTGTCCTGCTTCCCCTCCTGGCTGTGGTCAGGCAGCAGAGCCCCTCTGCATCGCTCCCCTCTGCATCGCTCCCCTCTGCATCGCTCCCCTCTGCATCCCTCCTGCCTCCCTGGCTCTGCTGCACAGAGCGCTGCCCTGGCTCTGGGGCAATCCTCGCCTCTGTGCCCAGGGATGCTGTCCCAGCAAACACGCCGTGTCCCGGGGCCTGAGCAGCGCTGTCACTGCCCCTCTGGGCTCCAGGAGGTCACTCCTTGTCTTCCTGCCCCCATCCCTGCAGCTGGAACCCAGGTGTGGGCCCAGGGCCCAAAGGCTTCCTTGGGGCTGCAAAGGGGAGCAGAGACTTTCTCCTGCCCTGTTGCTGCTGGGCAGAGCCTCCCGGTCCCGGGGCTGGGAGAGGAGAGCTGTTATCCCGGGACAACAGGCTGCTGGAGAAGGGGAAGGAACCTGCAGCAGTTTGGCAGCCCTGGGAAGCGATGGAGCTGTCCAGGAGAAGGCAGGTGACCAGGAGCACTTCCACCTGCTGCAGCCTACCTGGGGCATCCTGGCTGGGCTGCTCGGGCCGCTCTGCTGCTGCCAGCCTGGAGCAGCCCCTCTGCCCTCTGCCTGCCTCCAGGAGGGCATTTCCAACCCTCTGGAGCCCCCGGGGCTCTCCAGAACAGGAGCTGCTGCCGTGGATGGTGTGAGCAGGGCTGGCCGCCAGCCTCCAGCGGGGCACAGGGGACACCCCTGCATGTCCCCAGTGTCCCCCGGGGGCTCAGAACCCACCGTGTGCCACAGAGCAGGGAGCTGGCAGTGCCAGGAGCTGTCGCCTGCAGTTCAGGGGAAAATTTTTCCGCCCTCCCACTCCGGCGGCTGCAATCCACCAACCACAGCATTTACTGCTTTTTTTCCCCTCAGCACCGCTCCAGCCATATTGGGCTGTGGGGAGCGAGCGGCTCTAATGTTCTATGTCACCTGCAAATAACCCGGGCAGGGCTCGAAAAAGCACCTCCACCACCTCCACAATCCACACCAACACCACGTCCTCTCCACACACAAAAGTCCGTCAAAATGAGCCCGGAAGCCTGGCTCCCGCAGCCCACCTTGTTCCTCACTGGCCTCACCTTGCTGCTCTCGCTGGGTAAGTGTCGGCTTGAGCCCCCTTGCATGTGCCCAGGTGGGGAGACAGCCGTGCCCTGGCCAGGAGCCCCTGCCCGTGTGCCAGCCCGGGTGGCACCGTGCCGCAGGGGTGGGGATGGTGGTCTGGCGTGCACCCTGCGGAGAGCCACCAGCCAGGGTGACCTGCTTTCGGGCGGGGTGGGGGCTCTGCTGCCACTGCATCTCCTCCTGAAAACGCCCTGCGTCCAGAGCACAGAGCCCTTGGCGTGCCGGCCAGGGGAGCGGGCTGCGTGGGGACAGGGCTGGGCTGCCAGGGGCTGTGCTGCCCTGTGCCTGTCCCTTGGGTGCTGCCAGGGGCTGTGCTGCCCTGTGCCTGTCCTTCGGGGGCTGTGCTGCCCTGTGCCTGTCCCTTGGGTGCTGCCAGGGGCTGTGCTGCCCTGTGCCTGTCCTTTGGGAGCTGTGCTGCCCTGTGCCCATCCTTTGGGTGCTGCTAGGTGGGCTCTGCTGCCTTGTCGCGGCTGCCAGCGGGCTGTGCTGCCTTATGCCTGTCCTTTGGGGGCTGTGCTGCCCTGTGCCTGTCCTTTGGGGGCTGCCCGTGGGTTGTCTGCCTTGTGGCTGTCCTTTGGGTGCTGGCAGTGGCTGTGCTGCCCTGTGCCAGCCCTTTGGGTGCTGCCAGGTGGGCTGTGCTGCCTTGTGGCTGTCCTTTGGGCGCTGCAGGGGCGCTGTGGCTGTGGCTGTCCCCGGGCTGGTGGCCGTGCTGGGGCCGTGCTCTGTGCATGCCCTGCAGCAGCAGCAGCAGCAGCAGCAGCAGCAGCAGCGCTGTGTCAGCAGCTCCCTCCGCGGCCGCATCGGTCGCTCCTCTGAACACCATCCCGGAGCTCCTGCCGGGCTGCTTGTCCCCGAGGAGAGAGCCTGGGAAAGGAGGGTACAAAACCCGGTCAGGGCTGCTGTAGTTGTCCCCCCAGCCTGGGTGCAGCTTGACAGAGCGTTGGGAGCCTGCACAGCGCTGCAGGACACGGCCTGGATGGTCCCTGGGGTTTTGGAGGTTTCTTCCCCCACCTCTGTTGTCCCCCAGGGCTGAGTGCCTGGCCAGTAGAAAAGTTTGGACCCACTTGGGTGCCCCTAGGTCCTGCCAGGCCGTAGTGTCCTTGCCTGGAGTGGTGACAGGTTTGCTGCTGGTGGCACCTCATCCCTCTGTAGAGCCCTGAGGACAGGGGACAAGGCCAGGTCACCCACCTGCAGGCACACAGGGCCCCGTGTCAGGGCCACTCAGACAATGATTCCATGCAGGGATCCCCTCCAACCACTCCAGCTCCTGGCTCTTCTGTCCCATCGGTTTTGGAGGTTTCTTCCCCCACCTCTGTTGTCCCCCAGGGCTGAGTGCCTGGCCAGTAGAAAAGTTTGGACCCACTTGGGTGCCCCTAGGTCCTGCCAGGCCGTAGTGTCCTTGCCTGGAGTGGTGACAGGTTTGCTGCTGGTGGCACCTCATCCCTCTGTAGAGCCCTGAGGACAGGGGACAAGGCCAGGTCACCCACCTGCAGGCACACAGGGCCCCGTGTCAGGGCCACTCAGACAATGATTCCATGCAGGGATCCCCTCCAACCACTCCTGCTGGGACAGGCCAGCTCCTGGCTCTTCTGTCCCATACCTGCAAGGTTTTCTTGGAGGCATCAAAGGCGGTGGCTGCCACGGGGCAGCAAGGCTGTGACACTGCCTCGGGACACTTCTTCCTGCCTGCGGTGCTGTGACCCATCCCCGTTCACCAGCTGTGCCCATCCCTGTGTCCCTGAGCCCCGTGGGAGCCCTCCCTGCTCTGGGGCTGGATGTGGGGTGTCCCCATGGCTGCCAGCACAGCCAGGAGCTATCCCAGGGCTTGGCCATACCCGAGGGCACCGCTGTGCCCCCAGGAGCCTCAGGGTGCTGCTGGGTGGCAGTGGGAGCTGCTTGGCACGGCTGTGCCTGCAGCTCAGGCAAGGCTCCTGTCCCTGGCTGCAGAGCCTGGCCCCTTTCCTGCCCTGCTTGCAGGCGGAGCGCAGCGGAGCAGCCCTGACATGCGCCCAGCTTGGCCTCGGCAAGAAGGTTTGAGAGCAAAGAGCAGCAGCCCAAGGGGAGAGGTGAGGTGATCAATAAAGCACCCGGTGGCAGTGTCCCTGTGCCTGCCCTGGAGGGTGTCACGGCCCCCCCAGGACATTCTGGTCCCTCCCAGGGCTCGCTGTCCCCGTGTCCCTGTGCTCCTCAGGGCCTGGCCTGGTGTTTGCAGCCAGCTTGGCTGCACAGGAGCCTGTTCCCCTTGCCCAGCCTGGGGACCAATGCAGGTGTTGGGTTTGGGTGCTGCTGAGGGGAGCTGCAGGGAAGGAGTGGAGGAGGCAGCAGGGCACAGACCCCCATCCCTGCCCTCCCCAGGTGAGTCCTGCCCTGCCAGCTGCACCAGGTACTGCCCCTCTTTCTCAGCAAGGCCAGGGATCAGGGACTGGCCTTGTTCCCCAGCAAGGCCAGGGATCAGGGACTGGCCTTGCTCCCCAGCAGAGACCTGGATCTCCTGCTGGTCATTTCCAGCTGGAGAATCCTTGCTGGCAGAGGAAAGCATCTGCATTCCCCGGGAGCGCCGGGGGCGGCCCTGGCAGATGCCAGCCCTCGCTGTGTCCTGCTGGGAATGCAATGTGATGAGCTCAGCCGTCATTTGCCTGTGGCTGTGGCGCCGGCCCCGCGTGCTGACGCTGCAGCCTCGCACAGCGCCATCGATCCCGCAGCAGCACAGCCTCGGGGGACGGCCGGGAGCAGGGCTGGCCTGCAGGCAGCACCGGCATGGCACAGCAGGGTCATCAGCCCTGGCACGGCAGGGACGATGCTCTGCCCGTCCAGCCCGGGGACGGTGCCAGGGCTGCTCCCCTTGTTCCTGCTGAGGAGGGAAATTCCGGTCCTGGCTGGATGCAGAGTGTGTGGGTGTGCCTGGAAGGCAATGCCAGGCCCCAAGGAGAGCTCTGTGCAGGCAGGGCAGCATGGGGACGTGGGCTCAGCTGCCAGGGTGGCTGCCTGTGACACCCCCAAATCCATCTGCATTCGGCAGCGCCCCCGAGACTGGGCATGGAGGTCATGGCCCCTGCCATCATCAATGCCCTGAATGGCTCCTCTGTGAAGCTCTCCTGCACCTTCAACTCTTGCTACAAGGTGGAGAACAAGCAGTTTTCCCTCAACTGGACGTACCAGGAGTGCAGTAACTGCTCGGAGGAGCTGGTGAGTCTCACTGGGGATCTGCTGGGGTCCTGGCACCAGCTCGAGGGGCGTTGCTCAGGGTTTCTTACAGGGCAGCATGTGCAGGGAGGGGGTGCTGGCTGGGAAATGAGCCCGTGGGGTGCCACACGCTGCCTCACCTGCTGTCCCCACGGCTGCCCAGTTCCTGCAGTTCCGCACCAAGATCATGAACAAGCAGCTGGACCGCTTCGGGAACCGCGTGGAGTTCACTGGCAACCCCGCCAAGTACGACGTGTCCTTCACCCTCAAAAACGTGCAGCTGGAGGACGAGGGCACCTACAACTGCTACGTGCTGAACCCCCCGGACCGGCACCGGGGCCACGGCAAGATCAGCCTGAAGGTGCTCACCAAAGGTCAGTGGTGCCCGCGCTGGGGGCACCCGCGGGGGCAGGGTTTGCTCGCAGAGCTCTGGTGTCCCCACGGCCACTGCGCGCCCTGAGCCCGTGCCCTGTGTCCCCAGAGCCCCCGAAGCACGACTCGACGGTGGCCGTGATCGTGGGCGCCTCGGTGGGCGGCTTCCTGGCCGTGGTGATCCTGGTGCTGATGGTGGTGAAATGCGTGCGCCGGAAAAAGCAGCAGAGGCTCAACACGGACGACCAGAAGACAGAGGAGGAAGGGAAGACGGACGGCGAAGGCAACCCGGATGAGGGCACCAAGTAAAGGCCCCCTGCCCGCCCCTCCCTCCTGTCCCCTGTACAGTGTGACCCTCTTGATGTGCTTCCCAGAGCAAGGATTTCTGTCTCCCCAGAGCATCCCTCCTTCCATGCAAACACCCAACCCAGCCTGGAGCAGGGCGCAGAGAGAAGGTCCCTGGAGCCTGGCTGTGCTGGGCAGGGCTGGGGAGGGGGGCTGAAGCCCCTGAGGCTGAGCTGGGACCAGCCTGTCCCCTGCTCTGAGTGCCAGCGTTGTGAGGAGGTGCTGGGGACGGGCTGGGGTGGGTGAGGGGGGGCCCTGTGCAGCCCCCACACATGGAGGGCCTGGAGCAGGGGGTGCCTGGAGGGACAGAGGGGTCTGGCCAGCCCCGTGCCCCATTGTCTGCTCTCTGTCCCAGTAGAAAATGTGAGCAGGAGCCAGCAGTCTGCCCTTGGGGTCAGGACTTATCCCCAGGTGCTCCTGCTGTGCCTGAGCCACTGGCACTGGTGTTCCCATCCCGAGGGATCCTGAGAGCTGCCAGTCTCCTCCTTGCAAGCTCGTGCTCCTCAGGGACTGTCCCGGGCCGCTCAGGAGTCAAGGCCATGAGCCCACCCAGTGTCTTGGATCTTTGCAGTGTTTTGGAACCATTAACAGCCCTTGGTGTGTGAGGGATGGACCCTTCCGCCTTTCGGGCTGGTTTGGGGTCTGAGCATCTCAGCCCAAGATGCTGGGCTGACCTTTTTGTGCTCGTTTCCTTCTTGGGAAGGGTGATTGTGGTGGAAAATGTCCTGCTGATGTCAAACTGGGGTGGTGGGGAGTCCTGGGGTGAGGCTGCTCGGGACAAGGAGCTGCTGAAAGGGAGAGGAGCTTTTGGGCACTTGCTGGGAAGGACTGGGCACAAGAGCAGGCCCAGAGTTAGGACAGCTCTGTCACCCTGGAGCAGCCCTGCGATGCTGAGACTGCCTCCTGCAGCCTCCCTGCAGAGCACTGCACACTGTAACTGCCATGGCAATGCACTGCCAGCGTGCCCAGCCCCCTGTGCCACCTGCCTCACCTGGCAGGTGAGCTATGCTGGCTGCAGCAACGGGGCTTCAAGCAGGGAATGACCCAGGGCAGTGTCCCCTGTGGCACCAGGCCTGAGCTTTTCTCTTCCCGTGGCTGCCAGGAGGGGGACAGTGCCCGGAGCCACAGGGGACACTGCCCAGGGACAGGTGATGGAGGTCCTGTCACCCACGAGCAGCACTGCCAGGGGAGAAGGGACACCTTTGCCACGTCCCTGTGTAGGTGCCACCCTGGCACTGCCATCAGGCCCCAGGGATGGTGGGACAGCTGTGCCCTCCCCGCTCTGCCCCATCGCTTTCCACCCCGGCCCCACGTGCCCCGTCCATCCCACTCGACCCCGCTGAGCTCCACGCTGCTCCCCTCCCATCCGCAGCAGGAATGTGCCGTGTCCCACGCCTGCCTCCCTTCCCTGGGCCCCGCTGCCCCGGGAGGGCCGGGCTGTCCCCACCCCGCACAGTGCCAGCGGTGCCGCAGGGCTCCGCGCCACTTTCCGCCAGCACCGGGCTGTCCCCGGCTCCTGGTGGGCTGAGCCAGCACCTCGGGGGCACGGAGGCCTCCGAGTGTTGCACACGACCAGTCTTGCATCTGCCTTTCATTTCTTCTCGTGCACTATCCTTGGATTGCAACTTGCCAATGCATCTGTCTGTACGTGGCTGTGCCCAGCAGAGCTGACAAATACAGATCTGTTCACACGGGAGGGGCTGCTCTGCCTCTGCGCCTTCCCCAGGCTTCTCTGGCCGAGCACCCTGCCGAGCGTGGGATGTTTTTATTGCTCTTTGTACAGTCAAACAAACAAAAGAACAACAAAACACCGACTTTGCCCTCGATGCTTTTGTGACGCAGCCTGGAGGGGCAGGACAGGCCCCTCACCTGCTCTGCCTGGGGGGTGAGCCCGCTCCGGAGTGGAGCTTGGTCCTGCTGGGGTGTTTTGGGTGCTGAGGGAGCCCAGGGCACCCTGTGTGTCCACAGCTCTGTCCCTGGGAGGTGGCCCCGGGGGTGGGAGCGCAGCCAGTGCTGCCCCAGCCTTCCCACAGGGAGATTCCAGGGGTGCTCCACACCCACTGTGGGGCTTCCAGGACCTGTGGCCTGTCAGCCTCTCCACTGTGCTTGTACAGAGCTGGCATTGATGGCAGCTCGTGGCAGGTAAGGCTCAGCAAGCTCCAGCAGAGCCCAGGGCATGCACTGGATGATGGACACCCATAACTGATTGTTCTCCTGCTCCAGCAACGCCGTGGGGATGCTCCGGAGCAGCACGACACAACTGGGGCACAGTTAATGGACACATCCATCAGCTCAGCCACCCTGGAGACACGAGGGAAGCTCTGAGAGCTGCCCTCCACCCTGCCTCTCTCTGCTGCCCTTCACTCCGGGCTCCAGTGCATCCCAATTCCTCACACAGGCAGGGTCTGGCCCCAAGGCACTGCCAGCACCTCTTACCACCTTCCAGCCCTGCCTTGCCCCCTCCCCAGCCCCCTGCCTCGCTCAGCCCCCTACGTCCCCAGCAGAAGTGGCAGTGGGATGAGCTCTCCCGGTGTCCCTGTCCCTGTCCCTGCCGGGCACTGCGCTCTGGGCACCTCAGCGTGGGGTCAGCGCTGCGGAAAACCTCCAGCTCCCCGTGGCACCTCTCCCTCCCCGAGGAAGGGCACCCAAATCACCTCTACTGTCCTGCTGACACAGTCCTGCAGCGCTGGGGAGTGCAGCAAATCGATCCCTTGGAACAACTTTGCCATGCAGGGAGGAGGACGTGGGGTTATCCCCACCCAGCTTCAGGGGTCAATACAGCCACGGGCAAAGGGGTGGGGGACCCCTCAGCACTTTTAGGATGCTCGTTAGGATGTTGCTGGCAAAAAACTTGAGGAGAGCAGTGGGATCACAGAGGAGACCCCGTGGGACACAACAAGGGTGAGTTCCCCTCACTGCAGGGGACTGAGGGCAGTGACAGAACCCCCCAGCACTGGGGCTTCACAGCTTCTCCAGAACCGTGGACATTCCTTGTTACAGAACACTGAAATTCCCTGGGCCAGCTGGGATTACAGGTGTTAAAGAGCACGAGAGGGGCTGGGAGGCAGCAGGGACTTCTGCCTGGTGTTGTGCAGTCACAGGGGACTGCTGGGGTGTCTCAGGGAGAGCCCAGAGCCACGGTCCCTGCAACGCTGCCCTGCTCCCGGGGCTGGGAAGTAAACAGAGCACCTGGAAAGGGGCTGGGAAGTAAAGAGAGCACCTGGCAAGGGAACAGCCTGGGGCAGTGAGGTCGGGGCAGTGAGGGGTGTGAAGGGCAGCTCTGAGGGGACAGAATAGCGAGGGTTCTGTGGAGGTGGCCGCGGGCTCTGCCGGGTCAGGATCAAACTTTCTCCTGGGATACAGCAGGGCTGCCTGAGCGATTCTTGCAGATGCTCTGCAGTGGCTGCCGGGGGACGCGGCCGCTCTTCCCCTGCCTGTTCAAAGGGCCGGTGGAAGGGGGTGAGGAGGCTGTGCGCTCCGGAGGGCAGGCAGCTCCGCGGGCGGGGGCGAGCAGGCAGCGGCAGCGCAGGGAGAGGGGAAAGCACCGCTCCGAGGGAGAGCTGCGGGCAGCCGAGAGCTGGAATGACAAAAGCAGCAGCCGGGTACTCACCCGCAGTCTGTGCCCGGGACTTCTCGCTCAGCTTCCAGCCCGGCCAGGACAGTCCTGCAGAGCCTGATCCCTGCGGTGCCTCCTGCCCACCGCCAGCTGCCGGGATGCCAGGCCACTTTGTCTTTTAAAGGTCACAGCCAGAGGACCTTGCAGTAAATATAAGGTGCTGATGGGAAGCTCTGTTCCAGCGCTGCCACCTCCTCCTCCCCCTCCATCGGCAGGAGGGCTCTGCCTGCTCCGGGAGCACAGCATCGTCTGGCTCGGGCACGTTTGGGAGGAGGCTGGGGCTGTCCTCCGGGGAAAGCGGGATGCTCCAGGGCAGCCGGGGCCAGCGCTGTGCCTGCTGCGCTGGAGCTGCAGCCCAACTGCTCTGCTCAGCCCTACCTGGTCGGTGGCCACGTGGAGGGAGGCAGGAGCCCTCCTCGGAGAGCAGGCATTAACCCTCCCAGCCCCGCCAGTGCAAGGTGAGAGGGACTGAGGGTACACAGGCAGCCACTGTGCCCCCGGCAGGCTGTGAGCCAGCTGGCAGCACACCCTGAGCCCTCCTTCCTGTCCCCCGGGAGGTGACAGTGCCCGAGCACAGGGTGCTCGCTCTCCCTGGAAGCAGATGCAGCAGCCTGGTGCTGGGCTCAGCAGGACAAGTTTCCGCTGAGCCGCAGGAGCCCCAGGTCCCACACCGGACATCTGTGTCCTGCCGAAATGCCAGGGCCAGCTGCTGCCGGTGCCCTTCCTGTCACAGGGCTGGGGAGAGCAGAGCCCTGCCCCGGCCCGCGGCAGTGGCAGCTGTCCCACGGGATCAGTCGGCCGAGGAGACCGGCTGGAGCTGCCGAGTGTGACAGCTCCATCAGGCTGGTGACAGCCAGCGTCCTGCTGCCAGCCCCGGGGCTGCATGGGCACAGCTCCCCAGGCACGGGGATGCCAGGCTGCCACCCTGCTCAGCAGGGAGATGTGGCTGCAGGGCCATGTCAGCACGGAATTAGCGGGGTGCCCACCTGCCCAGTGCACCCCGCTTGTGCCATGCCCGCAGGAGCTCTGTCATGTTTACTGGCCAACCCTTGCAGCCAGGTTTCCCAGCCTTCCTGCCTCGAGAAGGATTTAGGGCTCTGCTGGCAAGATTCTCAGTGGCAGTTTAGCCAAATGCATCCCAACTTGCATCCCAAATGCAAGCGAACTTGGCAGGCACCTGAGCATCCTGTGAGGGGCTGCACCACACCTTCCCCTGCACCAGGGTAGGGGTGCTGCTCTTCCAGGTCCCCGTTGCTGCAGGTCCTGTGTGCTGCATGCTGGTCTCAAACTCACCTGCACCTGTGCCTCTGGCCCCAGCAGCCACCAGGCAGCCCTGCGGGGGTGACAGGCGTCCCTGCAGCCCCGAGGATCCCTCTGCCTGCCCCCTCACAATTAGTGATGCTCCAGCAAACGCTGCGCTCCTCCTTCCGTCCCCACACAGTGCCTGCAGCTCCTCTCCCCTCGCTGTGTCCATCACCTTGCTGTATCCATCCTCCCTGAATCCATCCCCTCCCTGAATCCATCCCCTCCCTTAATCCATCCCCTCCCCGAATCTCTCCCCTTCCTGAATCCATCCCTTCCCTGGATCCATCCCCTCCCTGAATCCCTCCCCTCCCTGAATCCCTCCCCGCCGCCCGCCAAGGCACCTTCTGCTGCATCAGCAGAGCCGCGCACGCCGCTCCCGCAGCGCTGCCCTGCCCGCTCCGCCGGTATTTTTCCTGCCTCTCTTGCCAGCTCTGCAGCCCTAACGCCTCAACCCACAGGCACTGCTGGCATCCTCTCAGGCTCCCCTGGGATGTCCCCGTGCCCTGCAAAGCCTCCTGCTTCCCCTCCTCTCTGCTGCTTCGTGCTGCGGGCCGGGAGCGCTGCAGAGGGGGCGGGATGGGGATGGGGAGCATTTAAGGGGCCCTGAAGGTGACAGGCTGTGGCACCTTAGATGTGCAGGCAGCATCGCTGCAGGTGAGCTGCTCTCACACCCAAAAACCAATCAGTCCAGTTCGGGGAAGCCATGCCCGGTCCCTGGGGTGAGCTTTGCCAGGACGTGTGCCCTGTGTCACTGCAGCCCAGAGAAAATTCAGCGCCGTTCCTGCTCCAGGAGTGCGGCAGCACCTCCTCCCCTTCCCGTCACCGCTGTTTTGGGACACGGCACCTCCCGCAAACGCCGCTCTCGGCACGGGGCTCGCTAGCTAATGGACCTGGGCACGGAGGTGAGGCTCTGCCTGCCCGCACCACGCCCCGGGCTTCCATTAGGGCTCCTAATGGCTGCGAGAAAAGGTGGCTGAGATGGGAACTTTTGTGCAGACCATTATCGCGGAACAAGATCACGGTGAGAAAAATAAAAGTTCTGAGTGTTCCCTTTGGCGCCGGGCGGGTCCCTCTGCAGCCATCGGGGTCTGGCTTTGCATCCCACCTGTGTCTGCCGTCTGTCCCGGGGATGGAGGGCAGGGACACCTGATGCCACACTGCTGAGGTGCCCCGAAGGAGAGAGGAGCCCCAGCCTTGTCCTGTTTTGTTGTCCTGGGAAGCCACCGGCCTTAGCGGCACTTTGGGCTCTTCCCAAGCTGGCCCAAGGCAACACCAGCCCAGTGTTTTCAGGCCAGCACTGAATCACTGAGG